TGCAGCCTTCTGTCAGTTTTGCATCATTCCCCAGAACTTCTTTCAACATCCTGGCATCAAACCTGTACCCTCTAATGTGCAGGAGGATGGCCCCACCCCTTCTCAGTCTCATGCTAGACTACAAGGTGCTAAGAAGGCCAACCTGGTCTGAGAACACTTGACAATCTGGACAATGGCTTGAGAACAGCTGAATGCATGCTATGGGGGATTGTGCAGACCACCTTGCCACCACTGAACATGGAGTTCAGGGGCATGTTGCTCTTTTCAACCCTTAGCTAGTGTGTTTTTGATAAAGGATAAGGCTCAGCAAATTTAGCCACATATCAAGCAGTCATAGCGTTGGATGCCTCGCTTAGAAAATGGGCCCCTCTGTCCTTTTTTACAAACTCTTCTTCTGTTGTCTAAGAGTTGACCTCCTTGAGTAACTGGGATTCTCTCACCACTTCACAGATCCAAAATACAACTTAAGGTAGCAGGTATGACTACGTGTATTAAAACCAAGCATTAAGGACTCCATCTTTAATTTCACCTGATCCTTGCTTTTCTTCTCTGGAAACTTTCCCATTCTAGCTTGTCCTTTGTGTAATATATCTGGAACCCTGTGTAGACCGACTAATCAGTGCACAAAAATAATCACTCTTTCTATTGAGAGTTGCAAAACTAAAAAAGCATCTCTTGACTGGGTGATTAAGATCAAATGTGCATCATCTGGCCTACATGCTGTGAAAAGATGCTCACTAGTCTGCAAACACCAATCACCTGCCCTAAACAGCTCCTAAATCAGATTCTGGACACGATGGATTTTGGATAAGAGTCCTACATCTCCTTGAACACCAGGCTTTTGCAATAAAGTCATCTTCCTTGCCTCAGTACTTTGCCTCTCATCTTCATTGGCTACCCTGCAGCAGCCAGCAGCCAAACTTGAGTCAGGTTCACAGGGCTGAAGCCACAATTCAAGGCCTCACGAGAATGGTCCTCATTCCCCTTAGAGTTCTAGACATTACTGATATTGGTCAAGGTACTTATTTAAGTTCTGAAAATAGACGGTATTGGGCACTTGAAGAAAGCATTCAGTGCAATTTCCATGTCTCTAGACGTAGGGAGCCAGTTTAAAACAGATGTAAGGAGGGCCTCAGAGATTTCCTATTGAAGTTGTAAAGTGGCAAGTAGACTTTCTGTGACAGAGGCCTGTCATCGTCTAAATTTTTGTCCCTGGGTCACACATACTTTACACCAATGACACACAGGTTTCTCAATTTTCTTCATTGTCTGTAAAGAGGGCTACCTCCAAAGTACGAGATTTTGAGCTATTTTGAGTGTGCAATTTTGAGTACGCGATTTTGAAGATGTCCTTCCCATTGGCTTTCTTTCCCCTCATCACGCTCCCTCTTCCCATCCTAGAGGCTCTTACACTCCCCAAGAATTCTCGGTTCATAGTCAAGATATAAATTGTTGTTAAGGTTTCAAAGAGACAATTGTCGTATAAGGACTAAAACTGTGCTACTTGGGTATCTGGCACAGCAGGCAGACCCCCGTGGCCTCACATGCCCTTCCTCACTTTGCCCCCAAGGATGAGGTTCCCTTAGCCAAACAGGAGACCAGGGGGAGTTCTTTCGTACTCCCACAGAGTGGGTTTAGTTCTAGATGTGCCCTACAGAATTATAAGCCAATCATGTCCCGTGGGCAGGATCTATAGGACACCATCGGCTCATTTGAGCCCTAGGGGGGCTCTTCACTCTGATCCTAAGTGCATCCACAGTGTGGCCTTCTGTGATGTGTGTACCCCCCCCCCAGGCTGTGAGAAAGTGTGAGTAATAAACTGCTTCATTCTCACCTGTCTGTCCAGGGTCAGCTATATGTGTTCTCCACCCGGGTCTTCCACCTCTGTCACCAACTGCAATTGGCAATTAGTTGGCAACTCCAGAACCACTTTTCCTATTTTCCAATTGTTCTTTATGTATGTGACTAAATTAGTTGAAGGAAGTTGATTTCAGTTGGGTGAATTTACTAGATGGGATGATGATGATCTGTAAAGTTTTATGGTTTTTGATGATTTTGTAAGTTTCCTGCAGAAACACACACTCTCTCTCTCTCTCTCTCTCTCTCTCTCTCTCTCTCTCTCTCTCTCTCTCATCTGTTTAAAGGCAGAAGCAGAACTTTGTTAAATACGATTTTTTTCTAATAGAGGTGCTCATGTTGGTTTGATTCTAGTTTTATTTATTCACAGTTAACACAGCATGTTATTAAGAGGAATAAAAATGCATATATTAAAACATCTTATTTTAATGTAACTCCGTAACAGGACATTGAGAAATCATCTCAAGTTCCTAAGCCAAACTTAATATGTGAAAATCATCCACTGAGGTGAACCTGTGGTATAAGAAGTACATGGAAAATTCAAAACATAAATTAAGGTTCTACATGCCATAACTTACTTAAATGTTTTTAAATATACTTACTTCTAGAATCTTAAATTAAAATAAAGCAAGGATACTGGAAATCTAGGTAGAGAAAATAGTGATGAGAAAGGTAGGGTAAGTGTGAGTTTGTAGTCAGGGTCTTTCATGAATTGGCCTATATTTGTCTCACCTTCTTTATACATAAGATTAGGATCCTAATATTGTAAAAGCCCTGTTCTGCAGTAAAATTCTTTTACTGTAAAGGAAAACATAGAAAATAAGATTAATTGCTAATAAATGTCAGTGGGTAGTTAAAAGGCATGGATTCATCAATATGAAGCTTTTTAGAGTCTTTAAAAATTTTTCCTAAAAACATTATTTGAACTCAGATAAAAAGGAAAGATAAATAATATTTTACAATTATTATGTCTTTATTTATATCCAGGTTTCTTTTTCTTCATTATGTATTGTCTGTCACATGTGTGTCACAAAAAAACACTGGAGAATTTGACTCAATTATATCTCTTTTATGTGGTGATATGTACTTCTTCAATATTTGGCTGAAATTGTCCAGATTTTAAAAAAAAACTTGAAAAACATTCAAAATTTAGACATCATTCATTTCTAGAGTTATTTCCAAACATAATTTGGAAAATGTTAACTTCAGATAAATTTTAAGTAATGACCATGGAAAGTAAAGCAGAATGCAGGACAGATACCACCAATTGGCCTTAGACTCAAAATCAAAATGCTCAGGAATTATTTAAATATCATGAAGTTCAGGCCCCACTTGCATCATAGGTATAATAAAATTAAATCATAATGGGAAAATTAGAAAGCCCATCTATACACAGGATTACATTTCTGCACAAACTTTTTCCTTTCTTTGATTATCCTGTTTAAATATATCATGATCCACTCAAGCAAAGAAAAACCTCATCTTCCAATTTTTCCCTACAATCATCAGTCAGCTGAAGGAGGGCCATCTATTTGTCCTCCAAAATGTCTCTGGATTCTGTCCCTTCCCTGCTGTTTTTCCTAGTGCAGTCTTGAACTTAAATCGTGCTGAATTGTTACCTAACTAGAGATTCACAAAATAGCCACTCCTTACCCCAACTTTCTTATTTTCCTTTTTTTTTTTTTCAGTTTTATGAGTTATCTTACTAAATCTAAAATGGATAATGCTTAGTTGTTTGCGGAACTTATTTTCATTTTGTTGTTATTATTATTGTATCTAATTTTGGGATAAAGTCTTCTACAGAATTTTAAAATTGTTTCTCACAAGAAACTTTTAGATCCTAAACTAAAACTCTGTGCTAAAACCTAAACATTAAAAATTACCTAATACAACTTTTCCACTCTGCAAACTTATTTATAGCTGGAAACTTGCTTCCCATCTCAGCCACATATACCCTCGATAACCATAGCCTACAACCTTGTTCTAGGTTTATGAAACACTACGTCAGTATCCCAAGTTTCTGCATGATCCGTTCATGGTATTGCCAGTATCTTTCGTTATGGTTTCTAAAATTACAACTACATTATTCTAGGATCATTGTGACATCTTTAAATTGAGTACTATTGGCAAAGAATGCCATTCTGGTGACCAACTTCAGCATCTGAAGCTTGCTAGGAAAGTGCTCTGCCACTGATTTTAAATCCTGATCCCAAAAACCTTTTCGTGTGAATTCATGCATCTTTATCACAGAAAAAAAATGGAAGCAAGTGAGCAAATGTTGAGGCATCCTATTGAAGCAATTTGATATTATATTTTTACAGAAAATTTAATATAACTCTTCTCTATTTTTCTGTTTTACTTTTTCCTAGGGCATACTATATCACTTCATTCATTCTTGGTT